CTGCTTATGGAAGTAGAAAGCCCCATCTTTCTCCTGTGTCCGTGGATCCGGAGCAATGACTTCTGGGCTCACTAGGGAGCCTTGGTTTGGGTCTTCCTACTGGGCCATACTGGGGATTTGTGCTGGCCAGAGGGTGGAGGGGCGGGGTGTGTGTGTGTGTGGTGGGGGATGGCAAGCTATCAACGGCCTTGGGCTGCCTGAGAAAGGCCCTGGGCATGGAGGCTCCAGGAGGTTCCTGGTTGGCGAAGATACCTGCCCTGGGGAGGTATCTCACCCCAAGGGGCCCCAACAGCCGGGTGCCTGCCAGCGCCCTTAGGGGTCCCTCTGTGTCTCCCTTCATGTGTCTCCTCTGGGTTGTAGCCAAGCTCTAGAGTGAGGGTGTGTGTGTGGTGGACCCCAAGTTTGTGGCTGGCTTCCTGAAGAGGCCATGGGAAACCAGGCCCAAATCTGCAGGTTGGGGTGTCCCTTAGACCACCCACACACACACAATCCTCACCCCAGTGGTTCCTGCCTGTTCAGGAAGATGAAAGAGTGTCCTTTTAACCCAAAGGGCTGCCACCCAGCTGAGGGTGGCTGGGCCAGAGATGGTGATCATGAGGGGCGGTGACGTAAACTCTTATCCTCCCCTGGGGGTTGGGGCTCACACCTTCCTTGGGCTTTGCCCTTCACTCAGTTCAGGGGACAACACCCCTCCTGCCTCCCCCGCCCAACACGCACTAGGCACACTGGGCCTGCAGGTTGGTGGCCTGTGATCTGAAGGGCATGTGGGACAAGAGGCAGGTGAGTCGTCCCCACCAGGGCCGGGGGATGCTGGCTCCTTTCTCCCTCCCTGGGCGGCTCCCGAGAGGGAGCTATGTCTCAGGGCCAACTTCCCTCTGCCCGCTCCCCAGCAGGCCGGGCCGGGGCTCTGAGACTCACCTCGCCCACGCGGTTGATGGCGCAGGTAAAGCAGTGATTGGCAATGGCGGCGTTCCTAGCCTCGATGGGCCACAGGGACTCACTGCAAAGGGGAAGGGGGACAAGGGCAGGGGCATGACCAGGAGGCTGCAGCCCCCCCACACCTGCCCACACAGACTTCTCAGGCCCACGAGGCCCGGGAAGGGTGGTGCCCCAGGGCAGGTGTTGGGCTGCTAACCACGAGGTGGATGGTTCGAACCCCACAGGTGCTCTGCAGGAGAGAGAGGAGGCTGCCTGCCTCTGTGAAGATGGCACTTCTTCCCTGTCCTGCAGGGTCCCTGACCTAGACTGGCCTGGCTGGCAGTGAGCATGGCTTTTGGTGTGAGGCAGCTCTGCAGTCTGGCAGTGCAGTGGATTAAGCACTGTGAACCCAAAGGTGGGCGGGTCGAGCCCTGCGCTGCCCAGAAGGAAAAGGTGAGGCGGTGGCTCTCACGAAGCGGGCAGGCTCAGAAACCGCAGGGGCACTTCCATTCTGTCGTACAGGGCCACTGAGT